CGCCCAAGGGGGCGGGGCTGGGGCCCCACCCCAGCCCCCCCCCAGCTGCTCTGTCCCCGGCTTCTCCGATTCAGCTGCTGGTCAGTTTCAGCAGCGGCTGAATCAGGGAAGCCGGGTGCAGAGCAGCTCCAATTGGCTGCCCAGAGCACTTCTGGGTTCCCGATGGTGCTGGACCATCAGGAGTGCCAGAGCATTGGATGCCGGACCAATGGAGTTTTACTGTATTTGGTTCTTGCTAAAGTAACTGACAATCAGCAGAGAAATTGCTCTCTCTAAAAAACAAAACTTGATAATGACTACCAGAATGTCTTTTTATGGCTGTGGCCAAAAATCATCTCTGAGAAACATCATTCAGCGTTTTAAAATAAGATTAGATAGCTTTTAAAATATATGGTTTAATCCATCTTCTAGGAGAAATTCTATGACCTGTGTGTATGGGGGAAGGCCAGGCTTGATGGTCACTGTGGTCCCCTCTGGCCTTGGAATCTGTGAATCTGTGAGACCCAATGCTCATTCCCTTCCTTCATGGGCCAAGAAGAGAATGAGATTACCTGCCGTATCCTCAAAAACACTCATTACTCTTGTAACTCAATCACATAACAGCAGCCCTCGCATCAGGTCTTTAGCCAGCTATCTGCACAGGTCAGGAAGGAATTTAATGCCCCCCAACACTACCAGCCAGATGCATTTTGGATGCTGTGTCAGTTTATATTTTATGGTTTGTTTGGGGTTTTTTTGGGGGGCGAGGGGCGGGGGTGTCTTCCTCTAAAGGATCAGTGATTGGCTACAACTGAAAATGGTGGATCAGTGCTCTGAGGTGATACAGAGAATCCCCCTTCCAGATGCTTCACCAGTATGTGATAGAAATGTAGCCGTGTTAGTCTGGGGTAGTTGAAGCAAAATGCAGGACAATGTAGCACTTTAAAGACTAACAAGATGGTTTATTAGATGATGAGCTTTCGTGGGCCAGACCCACTTCCTCAGATCAAATAGTGGAAGAAAGTAGTCACAACCATATATACCAAAGGATACAATTAAAAAAAAGAACAAATATGAAAAGGACAAATCACATTGCAGAACAGAAGGAGGAGGCGGGGGGGTGGGAAGGGGGAGGAAGGAAGGTAAGTGTCTGTGAATTGATGATATTAGAGGTAGGGAGAGTGGGATGTTTGTGAGTTAATGGTATTACAGGTGATAATTGGGGAAACTGTCTTGATAATGGGTGAGAAAGTTCAAAGACTTGTTAAGTCCCTGGTGGTAAGTGTCGAATTTTAACATGAATGACAGTTCAGAGGATTCCCTTTCAAGTGCAGATGTAAAAGGTCTTTGTAGCAGAATGCAGGTGGCTAAGTCATTTAGAGAGTGTCCTTTCTGGTTAAAGTGGCAAGAAACTGTTTTCTCTTTGTGATCTTGTCTGATATCTGTTTTGTGGGCATTAATCCTTTGGCGAAGTGTCTGAGATGTTTGTCCAATGTACATAGCAGACGGACACTTTCGGCACATGATAGCATAGATTATATTTCTGGATGCGCAGGAATATGTGTTCTTGATCTTATAACTCACTTGGTTAGGTCCAATAATGGTATCAGCAGAATGAATATGTGGACAAAGCTGGCAACGGGGTTTGTTGCAAGGGAAGGTACCAGGGTTGGTATTAGTGTGGTATGTCCTGTGGTGGTTGGTAAGAATCATCTTGAGGTTAGGTGGTTGTCTATAGGAGACTATGGGTCTGTCTCCCAGAGCCTCTTTGAGTATGGTATCCTGTTCCAATATAGGCTGTAGTTTATTGATAATGTGTTGGACAGGTTTAAGTTGGGGGTTGTAGGTGATGACAAGTGGTGTTCTATTGTTGGTTTTCTTGGGTCTGTCTTGAAGTAGATGGTTTCTAGGTATTCGTCTGGCTCTTTCAATTTGCTTTTTTATTTCTCTGGGTGGGTAGTTGAGATTTATAAATGCTTGGTAGAGATCCTGAAGCTTCTGGTCTCTGTCAGTGGGGTTAGAGCAGATGCGGTTGTATCGAAGGGCTTGGCTATAGACGATGGATCGTGTGGTGTGTTCTGGATGGGAGCTGGATGCATGTAGGTAACTGTATGAGTCAGTGGGTTTTCTGTAGAGAGTGGTGTCTAATTTTCCATTGTTGATTTGTACGGTGGTGTCCAGGAAGTGGATCTCTCGTGTAGTATGTCTTATTCACATGCTCAAGGTCATACAGATTTGCAGTGGAGAAGGAATTTCCCCACAGATTAGTTAGCCAAGGATCTTTGGATTTTTCCACCCTGTTCAGGGGGCCTGTTTTGAGAGCTAGGACCATATGAACACCCCCTTACCTACCAACTTCCCTACCACTGCAAGGGACTCAAGTATTAATGGAAACTTGGTCTGTCCTGTTCTGTTTCACACAGTTTAGTCCGCTCAAGACTGAAATGTTTTAGTCTAAATAGATTAGTCTAATTTCAGCCTAATAAAGTCTCAGTATAATTTAATGGCCTGTGATATACAGGAGATGAAACTAGACAATTTAATGCTCTCTTCTGGCTTTAAAAATTATGGAAAAATGAAACTATGAAAATACTGACAATTGTCTTGTTGCAAGAAGTGATGAATAGGTCAAATTGTTTAACTTTTTACTTTTGTTGCTGGGTGAACAACTGATTATTGCTAAGAGCTTAGTCAGCTATTTGTACAGGACTTCTTATACAGAACTTACAGTAAACTGAGGACCAGATGTGGATTTTCTTTGGTTTCAGGGGTGGGGGAATGTTTTTCAGGCTTTTAGTCTCTGTGGAAAGTAAAATCTTGAATACTTTTTAAAATTGCTGGTTTGAACAGGATTTTTCCAGAACTAAACACTAGCTACAGATTACTTACTTCAAAACTGACTAGACCAGGTTGCATGTCTCCAAGACAGGCCTTAGACCTGATTTATCTTACGACCTTAGAGACACTGGAAGATAGAGCAAGCAAAGAGTGCAAACTATAAGAATCAAAACAGTAAGGCAATGATGCTTTGCCTTTTGAGCCAACAAGCCATCTGAGGGAAAACAGACATTCTAGAATCCTGAGAGAGAGAACATGGGGGAGAGTAATTCAAATTAACTGATACTTCAGCCTTTGACCAGTCCTCCCCCCGCAACTCAAAGAAGTCCACTAGCAAGAAGCACTATGCCAAAAATAAGTGCTGCGCCAGAAACATCACTATCTGGCTCCTTCGCACTGCATTCCATCTCCTATTCCATTAAAGTCCAGAAGATCGACAGCTGTAAAGTTAGCTGTTACTTTTCCTATTCCTCTCTTTTTAATTAGCTCAAGGTGTTGCATCCATGCCAGCCCCCATCCCAAAAGCCTCAGTGCCAGCCCACCATCCCATAGAGCCCCTCCATCACTAGACATCCCCCTGTAACAATTTCCTGTTTCCAGAGCCCCACTGCATCCAACCACCCCAGAGCCTGCCCCAGGTCAGTCTCCAGCATTAGCCCCATCCCCAAAGCCCTCTAGTGCCAGATCAGACCAATAGCTCAGCCTCTAGAGCCCCCCCACTCTAGCTCTGCCCCAGTGCCTCCCCCACCCCCCTCACCTAGCCCTTCGCTGCTGCTCACATCACAGCAGCTCTGGGGACCAGGGCTAGGGTACACTGCCCAGCTCCTCCCCTCCCACCACGGCTGTTGGGAGAGAGATGTCCTGCCCTGCCTCTCAGCCAACCACCACCAGGCAGCGGCGGGGTCTCCTCCGGTCACGAAAGAGAACTTCTCTCAGGTACTTCG